CCTTGATTAGTTGAGTCCAAAAATCCATACCCATAGATACAAAGGGCAGTCTAAAAACGGAGCTAGAATTCCAGCTTTGCATCTAGCTCCTCTACTTCCCAACCATGAAGCCCCAAGCTCCCAGGGCTCTCTGGGCTCAGTTTCTTCATCTGTGCAATGGAAGTAATTTCAGCACCTATATCCTACGGTGGCTGGAAGTAAGCAAAGTCAAGCCCTTACACAGGAGCCTGACCCAGAGGGGAGGGATGATGCATAAGAGCCACATGGCAGACCCTACCCAGGCAGGCAAGGCTGGTTAAAGCCTCACTTTAACCGGTTCCAAGTCTGGCCAGTAGCTGGCATTGACTGTAGCAGCAACCAGTCAAAGCAAGGCCCACCTGGAGGGCCAACCGCAAAGAACCCTGGGTCTGGGTGCATGTCTCCTGGTCTCTGTTGCTGTGCTCACATGCTCTTAACACCAAACCACCACGTTGGCACCCTTGACCTGAAGCATGACTGCTTTAGACCTTGAAATTCACACTGTCCACAGCCTTCTCAAAGGACAGGGCCCCACAGATTCCTGGAATGTTCAGGATACAGACACCTCTGACGAGCTCCTGGGTTCCCAGGTTTCTAGAAACACTGTTGGCCTCATGGGGAAAGGGATGAAAACGGTTGCCCTCCTGCCATACAATGAGGCTTCAAAGCGTCCATGGAAGACGGAACTCAAAGAGAATGGAATTTTCCCAGATTCTGTGACGTCTCCTTGTACTGCTGTGATGCATATGTTAATGATCTGCTGTTGTTGTTGTTGTTGTTGTTGTTGACACGAAAGCCCACCGGGAACTTCCCTCTTACCTGTTTCACTGCATCCAGGAGTCGCTCCAACAAAAACTGCCTTTTCATATCATTGTTCTGTGACCCTAAAAGGCAACAAGGCTAAGTTAGCTTTGTGTGACCTTAGCCCACTATTAAGACTCTCGGACAGCAGTTCTCAACCTGTGGGTCATGACCCCTTTGAGGGTCAAATGACCCTTTCACAGGGGTCACCCAATTCATAAGAGTAGCAAAATTAGTTATGAAGTAGCAACAAAAATAATGTTATGGTTGGGGGTCACCACCACATGAGGAACTGTATGAAAGGGCCGTGGCATGAGGAAGGCTGAGAACCACTGCTGTCTGACATCCTGGTACGAGGTTGTGTCCAACCAGGAGCAGCCCCCCTAACAAAACTGAAACCCAAACCACTTTTCCTCAAGTCCGAATCACCTAATGGAAACCCCGCGTACCTCAGAGGACAATTGTGTGCACAGGTTTTCAATAACCAGAAGTAAATCGCCAGATCTTTCTTCCAAAGGTAGTCCTGAGTGGGCCCAAAAGTCCAACCTTTCTGCTGGCATAGGAACCCTTTAACCACTTGCACCACTCAAAATATAAATAAATAAATAAGCCCAGTACCATTGAGTAGATTCTGACACAAAGCAGCCCTGCAGGGCAGCGCAGAGCTGTGGCTTAGGGTTTTTCCGAGGCTATATATCTTTATGGCGGACCATCTCATCTCTCCCACAAGCAGCTAGTGGACTTGAACCACTAACCTAGCAGTTAGCAGCCCACTAAGTCACCAGAGCTCTATTTACACCACCCAGGGGACCCCAAACTAATAAGATTAGGCACAAAGAATGGGGACTATGACAATGAAGTTTGACCATCTGCCTGGAAACACATCACACAAACACAAACTCCCAGCTAAGCCAATTTCCCTCATATTTTAAGAATGTGCCAGGAATGTGTAACTCAGGGTTTCTTGGTCTTAGGTCAGATAATTCTTTGTAGTTGGTGGCCTATTGGTGAAGTGTAGGATGTTCAGTGGCATCTCTGGCCTCTACCCATTGGATGTCATTAGCATATATATGCCTGTGAATTGTAACAACAAAAATATCTCGAGTTATTGTCAAATATCCTGTGAGGAGCAAGACTGCCCCCAGCAGAAGAGCAGCTGTTATGGACCAGTTCCCAGTTCTCAGGCAGCCACTAGCCAGGTTCTTCCAGACCTCCACGCTGTCCCTTCTGCAGCCCCTGTGCTCCTCACCCACGCTCCCTCCCTCTCTCTCCACCGTGGACCCCAGCCACGAGCCACCAAGATCATCACTCCCGGCCAACACCCTCGATGCCCTACACCTCTTGCACACTTGCCTGGCCAAAAATCAGGCCTAGTCAAACAGAAAACCAGCAAATGAAAACCCATTGGCTCTCTATACGAGAAAATCTGTAAGAAAGAGTCTACAAGAAAGCGTCTAGAGCTAACAGCAAAGTTGCAGAGTCCTGAGTCAATAAACAAAATTCAGTTGACTTTCTATGAACAAGTAATGAGAAATCTGAAAAGAAAATTGGGAAAACAGTTCAATTTACAATAACATCTAAAAGAATAATATACCTGGGAATAAATTTAATGAGGGACTCAAAGGACTTATGCAATGAAAACACTGCTGAACGAGATTAATGAAGACTTAAATCAATGGGAAGATATTCCATGTTCATGGATTGTAAGATATCATTAGTGCCCAAAATGATCTACAGATTGGACGCAATCACTATCAAGATTCCATCAGCCTTCTTTACAAAAAAAGAGAAACCAATCCTTAACTTTAGACTGACAAGAGGATCAGAATAACGAAAGTAATGTTCAAAGAAAGGAACAAAGTAGACGGTGTCCAGGTCTTATTACAGTCATCTCACTAGTATCTCTCCGTTTGTCCTGCTGTGGTGGTGGTGCGTTGCTGTGGTGGTGGTGCTGGCAACGAACACTGAAAATACCAAGGACAGCGAAAAGAACACACGGGTGTGTCTTGAAGGAAGTCCAGCCTGAGTGTTCCTCAAAGGCAAGCATGGCCGGGCTGTGTCGGACACACTCGGGATGTGTTGCCAGGAGAGACCGGACCTTGGAGGAGGACATCATGCTGGGTAAAGTGGAGGAAGGCCCTCGACAAGATGGGTTCACACAGTGGCTGCCACAATGGGCTCAGGCGCGGGAACAATTGTGAGGATGGTGCAGCTCCGGACAATGTTTCTTTTTATTGTGCATGGGGTCACCATGCGTCAGAGCCAACTGGATGGCATCTAACACCAACATCATTCCAGTCATCAACACTGTCTGGTACTGCTTTCACAGCACCTACACAGACTAATAGGACAAAACGGAGTCCCAAAATAAGCCCGCACATCCATGGTCAACTGATTCATGACAAGGGAGCTAAGTCCACTTAATTGAGAAAGGAGAGTTTCTTCAACAAATGATACTGAGAAAATTGGATTTCTGTTTCCCACAACATACAAAAACAAATTCAAAAGAGATTAGGAACCTAAATGTGCAAACTAAAATCAAAGTTCTTACAGTCCAACTAGGGACGATGCTGTCGCGTCTCCTCTCAACAATGGATTACTGACTGAATGCCAAAGGTCACACAGCAAAAGGCAAACCAAACAAATCAGAGAAACAAACAGGAACGAAACAGAAAATGTTTTCATTTATCAAAAGGTTTCATCTAAGCAACTGTTGGGAGCCGGTGGCCTTTAAGGCCTTAGCCTCAGTCTGAGCCGAACTTGGCTGCTTCCTAGTCTTTCATTTGCAAAACCTGTGAGGCCCTGCCTAAATTCCTGCCTCCGCGTTCCTAGCTACGTGCTCTGTAGCACGGGCAGTTGTAAAGTTGACCTTTTCACCCATTGGTTAATAATGCCAGGCGCTCATTGGACTAAGATGGACTTTGCTTTACACCTGATGGACCTTAATCTGCATGCAGGATGTCTTTGAGAACTAGCGCGCGCCCTTTTACCTACAGCTGATTGGTTAACGTTCTTATGCTTCATTAATGTACCTGTTGGGTTGGATGCTGTGTCGCACACCTTATTAAAATATGCACCTCCCAGTTCCCCCTTTTTTATACCCCAGCTTTGCCCAAATAAATGAGCTTGATCAGAGTTTTGTCTTGCTCCACGCAACCAACTGGGAGAACATCTTCAGAAATCATTTATATGATAAGAGCCTAATAACAGTACACACACGTATATATATACATATGTGTGTACATATTAAGGTGACCAGACTTTAACATTAGTAAAGCAGGACACCATTGATAAAACTCATATCCTGGTGAAATAGCCACATGGCAGCCGAAAACCGTAGACCCTAGCTTGTCGTGCATTCTTTCCAAAAATTGGGACTTGTTTTTTAATCGTTTTATTAGGGGCTCATACAACTCTTATCACAATCCATACATACATCAATTGTGTAAAGCACATTTGTAGATTTATTGCCCTCGTCATTCTCAAAACATTTGCTCTCCACGTAAGCCCCCGGCATCAGGTCCTCATTTTTTCCCCACCCTCCCTGCTCCCCCCTCCCTCATGGGCCCTTGATAATTTATAAATTATTATTTTGTTATATCTTGCCCACCGCGGGACACAGGAAAAATTGTTAAAAATCGGGACTGTCCCGCCAAAAGCGGACACCTTAGTATATATATAATCTGATCACCTTAGTATATATATAAACTTAAACCAAACTCATTGTCATCCAGTTGATGCTGACTCCTAACGACCTTCCTGTGGGTTTCCAAGACCGTAACTGTTTTCAGGAGTTGAAAGCCTCATCTTTCTCCTGCGGAGCAGCTGGTGATTTCAAACTGATGACCTTGCAGATCATACAGCCCAACACGTCACCACACGCCACCCGGGCTCCATATATAGATATACATACACACAGAGGCACACAATAAAAAAAATAAAAACCCAATCGTATAATAGGTGAAAGATTTCGAGTAACGATTCACCTAAAGGACTGTCAAATGGCCACTAACCATATGACAAGGTGTGTGGCATCATTAGCCATCAGAATTGTAAATCAAAAGTACAAGTATCATTTCACTCCCACTAGGATGACTAATAAGCCTCCTTGCTTGGTTCCACAATCAATGCTGATGGAACCAGCAGTCAAGAAATCAAATAACACATCGTATTGGCTAAATCTGCCACACAGGACCTTTTTAAAGTATTGAAGGGTAAAAATGTCACTTTCAGGACTAAGGTGTGCCTGACCCAAACCAAATTCACTTTCATATGACTCCTGTGGACCCTAAAAGATAGGGCAGAGGAGCATTGCAGCGGCCCCAGGTCCCCAGAAGATTCTGTGCTCGCTCTGTGCCGTTTGTTGGGGAAAATGCACAGCGGCTCTGCCTTTCTTCAGTTGCTCCCCCTTGCAACTCTGAAACTGTTTCAGGTTAAACCCCCTCCATTATAAGTAACTGCCTTTAGGGCAGTCTCAACCTCGCCATCCGCACAGATATGCGAGACAGGCCGTACGGGCCTCCCAGGAGGCTGCATCTGAGGTCTTGCTGGAGCATCGGGCCCTGACTTGTTGATGTGCTCGGCAAGGTGTACCTGTCCCCAAGTCCTTAGATCTCATTTTAATCCAGCATGGGTTAAGTCAGTCTCTGACCTGACTTGGAGCTTCATCTAATGAATAATTTGTTTCCCGGTGAGGGGGTGGGAACAGGGTAGAACTGCCCCTGTGAGTTTCCAAGACTGTAACTCTTTACGGAAGTAGAAAGCTGTGGAAGTAGAAAGCTGTGGCAGTTACATAATCTACTGTCAACTTGAGCGAAGGGGTGGAGTCTAGCCTGTCTATCAGATCATAGCCAATCATGCCTCTGTAGGCATGGCCTTCTACTTAGGATTCTGGGAACTCCTGTCTTCCTCCCTGGAGGTGGGACACACTCTCTCTGCTTGAAATTTCTGATGACAAGCCACATGGAGCTACACTGATGGAGCCAGAGCCCTGGAGGTAGAGGAGCCAGGTGGAGACCCATGCTAGTGCTGAGATGCTTCCACCACCACTGGATCCACCCACTGGCCTGTGATCTTCCTGCATTCAGTGTCATTGCATGTGCTGCGTAAGTCTAAAGAGGAACTTACGGACTAGCATCAGGCATATGAGTTAATACCGGGCTTATGGACTTGATCTCAACTGGGCTGGGATGTTTTCTCAATATACTGCTCTTTGATATAGTTTTTCCTATACATATGTGAGTCTCCCAGGACTTGTTTCTCCACTCTACCCGGACTAACACAAAAGCCTCATCTTTCTCTCAAGGAGCAGCTGGTGGTTTTGAACTGCTGACCTTGCAGTAAGTAACCCAACACATAACCACTTTTCAGTTGTCTCATATGCATGTAAAAGTTGGACAATGACTAAAGAAGAACAAAGAAGAATCATTGCACTTGAATTATGGTGCTGGCAAGGAGTACTGAAAGTATCCTGGACAGCCCAAAGAACAAACAGTTCTATCTTAAAGACGTATGTACGCTTGTATGTTACTCCCCTTCCCAACATGATCGCTGAAGACAAAATGGGTGCATAAGTAAATGTGGTGAAGAAAGCGGATGGTGACCGGCTATCAAAAGAGATAGTGTCTGGGGTCTTAAAGGCGTGAAATTAAACAAGCGGCCATCTAGCAGAGAAGCAACAAAGCCCATGGAAGAAGCACACCAGCTTGTGTGATCATGAGGTATCAACGGGAATAAGTATCAGAAATTCAAAAACAAGCCATCAAATTGGCATGAAGAAGCATAGACAAAGTGGAGACCCGAAAGCCCAACTGTAAGATAATTGGACAGTCCTTCACAGAAGGGCCACATGGAAGGGATGATATATCCAGGGTGCAGTATAGAACTGATGAAGCACACGACTATCCTTTAATTCTTTAATATCTTCCTCTCCCCCACTCCCCTTACTAATATGGTCTTAGTTTCACCTCATTAATCTTGTGAGACCTAAATATGTTCATCTGTATAATTAGGGTTGTTCGATGCATGAAATCCAAGATAGAAAAACCCTTCAGAAATAATAATGGGAGTGATTCCCAGAAGGCACAGGAAGAGAGGGGGCAGGGGGAGGGGAACCGATAGCACTGATGACTGGATAACCCCACTCAAGGAGAATGAATAACAGAATTGTAGGTGAACAGATACATTGGATGGTGTAAGATACAGCAAACAAATACATAGTATATAATAATAAGGGTTCCTGGGGCTTAGAGTGGGAAAGGGCGGGAATAAAGAGGAACGATATCAAAAAGTTCAAGAAAGAAAGAAAATGTTTTAAAAATTATGTGGTGGCAGCAATTGCACACTTATGCTTGTTATAATATCTGTAAGAGCTCCCAATAAAATGATTTTTTTTAAAGACGTATAGCCAGAATGTTCCTTAGAAGCAAGGACTGGGATATTTTACCTCGCGTACTTTGGACATATTGCCAAGAAAGATAAGCAAATTCCTGGGAAAGAGCATCATGCTTGGTAAAGTAGAAGGGCAGCCAAAAAAGAGTAAGGCCCTGATGAGGTAGACTAACACACTGGCTGCAGCAGTGGCTCAACCCCAACAATTCTGAGGCCGGCACAGAGCCGAGCAGCGTGTCGTGCTGCTGTTCACAGGGCCGACCCGCACCGCCTCACAGTAACAGGATGGCTAAGACGAAAAGCAAAACTGTCAGCCAGGGTGTGGGGAAATTAGAACCCTTACATCCAGTGCTGATGGGAATGCAAAATGGCACAAACATTGTGGGGAAATGCAGCAATTCCTTAAAAAACTGGAAAATGGAACTACTGGATGGCCCTTATTTTGCTCCTAGGTATATACCTAAGAGGCTTGAATGCAGAGTCTCGGAAAGCAACCTGCTGGGGTCTGTAGCTATACTTCATTTCTTCATGGCATAGGTGCACGACATTCCTATAATTTGGTTCATTGCTTTGTACGTTTAGGGTCATGGTTTCAGGGGATATTCCAGCTCATTGGCCTAATAACATGTGTGGTGTTTCTGTTCTACCTCCTAGTTCCTTGCATAGTACCTGGGGGTCTTAAAAACTTGACGTGGGCATTGAAACCACGTTTGTTTTCTATTCACCTGAAGCAACAGAGGAAGGAGAGTCAAGAATAGGAGGATGTCTGTGGCAGTTACATACCATAATCTCCTGTCAACTTGAGAAAGGGTGGAGTCTAGCCTGTCAATCGGGTCATAGCCAATGAGGCCTCTGTGTGGGCATGGCCTTCTCCTGAGGAATCTGGGAACTCCTGTCTTCCACCTTGGAGCCAGGACACACACAGTCTCCCTGCAAGATACTCCTGCTGACAAGCCACCTGGAGCTATGCTGATGGCAGCCAGAGCACTGAAGCTGGAGGAGCCATGTGGAGACCCACGCCAGCACTGAGATGCTTCCACCACCACTGGATCCACAAGATTTTCCATCCACTGGCCTGTGATACTCGAGCATTCGGCGTCATTGCATGTGTTGCCTGAGTCTGAAGAGGAAGTTACAGATGGGTATCAGACATGTGGGCTAATATTGAACTTAAGGACTTGATCTAGACTGGGCTGGGATGTTTTCTCATTATACAATTACTCTTTGATATAAAGTTCTCTCTTACACACATATGAGTGTCTATGAATTTGTTTCTCGTCAGCCCAGACTAACAAATGTCTAATGTGTGACTGATTGCCACCATGATCAACTGGCTCTTTTGTCATGACATTGAAAAAATTGGGATGGTGCCCAGCTACCATTACTGAACATCTCTATCAAAGACTTTCTCCATAAAAGAATCACAAACAAAAGTGGGGAAACACAGAACAGAATTTCAAATGCTCAGGGATTCTAGGAGACTTTCTAGAATCATGGAGGGTGGATGAACCCCTGAAACTAAGGCCCTGACATCTTTAAACCTTAAGCCAAAAGTATTCTCTGAAGTCATATTAAAACTGGACAAAGGACCCCATGCCCCTCTCCTGGGGGATGAAGCCCCTGCTTCCCTCAGAGTGAGGAGGAGGCAGGTAACAGGAACAGCTGGGAGGGAGTTTAATACTGACCTTTTTTATAAAAAAAACAACTGAATAATAGTTTCACTTACTATGGTAAAAAGGTCTTCCTTGGACCTTAATCTCTTTTAATACCTATATGAGCTCAAGTAAGAAGACCAGAATGTTCCTTAGAAGCAAAGGATGGCAAGGCTTTGGACATGTTGTCACATGCTTTGGACATGTTCTCACATGCTTTGGACATGCTGTCAGGAGAGAGCAGGCCCTGGAGAAGGACGTCATGTTTGGTAGAGTGGAGGGGCAGCGACAAAAAAGAAAAAGGCCCTCAACGAGATGGGCCGGCACAGGGGATGCATCAACGGGCCCCAGCGCGGGAACCACTGTGAGGGTGGTGCAGGACCGGCAGTGTTTCATTCGGTTGTGCATACGGTTGCTATCGGTTAGAGGCAATTCAGTGGCACCTAGCACCAAAACCTGAGAGCAAACTGAGTGCAGCAACTCCACAGACGAGAAAAGATTCTTCGGGGGCAGTGTGTTCATGTGAATGAGGAAAGAATCACATGGGACAGGCGATAAGACTGGCTGCACAACTCCAAGAACGCGAGCCCTGCTCTGAACTGAACACAGAGACTGTGGAATTGATAGATGGTTTGCTGTTATTCTCAACCAAAAACAAACACAGCCTCACTGCCACTGAGTTTCCAAGACAACAGATCTTGACAGAGCAGATTGCCACACTGTCCTCCCACAGAGGGGCTGGGAGGTTCAAACTGGCTAACTTTGTGGGGAAAAACTAGCTGAGCGCTTTAACCACTGTGCAGCCAGGGCTCCTCAAAAGTCAAGCACAACCTTAAAACTCTTATGACTTCCGAGGTGTCGAAGAGATCAGGTATAAGGCATCATCAGAACAAAAAAATCTTACCATAGTGAATGATGGGGGGAGTGCGGAGTGGAGATCCAAAGCCCATTAGTAGGTCACTGGAGATCCCCTTGCAGAGGGGTCTCGGAGAGGAGATGAGTCAGTTAGGGTGCTATGTAGCAACGATGAAAAATACAACTTTCCTCTAGTTCCTAAGTATTTTCTCCCCGCTCCCACTACCATGACTCGAATTCGACCTTGCAAGTCTGGCTAGACCAAAGGAGGTACACTGGTACAGATAGGAACTGAAAATACAGGGAATCAAGGGCGGATGAGCCCTACAGGACCAGTGGTGTGAGTGGTGAAACAGGGAGGGTAAAGGGAGAATGGGTAGGAAAGAGGGAACCGATTACAGGGAACTGTGTGTGACCTCCTCCCTGGGGGACAGACAACCGAAAAGTGGGTGAAGGGAGACGTCGGACAGGGCAAGATATGACAAAATACCAATTTACAAACTATCAAGGGCTCATGAGGGAGAAGGGAGTGGGGAGGGAGGGGAAAAATGAGAACCTAATGGCGGGGGTTTAAGTGGAGAGAAAATGTTTTGAGAATGATGTACAAATGCGCTTTACACAATTGATGTGTGTATGGATTGCAATAACAGTTGTATGAGCCCCTAATAAAATGTTTAAAAACAAAACAAAAACCTCTTATGACTTGTGTTACATGCAATATGCATTATCTGTCTGTGCTGTCAAGGGGCAAATATTTTAATGCTTATTTTACTTGCAATGTATGAAAGGGGCACTGGTAGGCACACTGGTTACATGTTGGGCTGCTAACCATAAGGTCAGCAGTTCGAAGCCACCAGCTGCTCTGTGGGACAAAGTCAGAGCTTTCAACTCCTAAAGAGTTAGCCTCAGAAATTCCCAAGGGCAGTTCTACCTTGTCCTATAAGGTCACCATGAGTCGGCATTAACTCCCTGGTAGTGCGTTTTGTATATGAAAGGAGCACCTGTGATGGAGAGGCAAAAGCACTTGACTGCTAGCCAAAAGGTCAGCAGTTCAAATCCACCAGCCACTCCAAAGAAGAATGAAATGGCAGTATTCCCACAAGTGGCGGAAGTCCACCTCAGCTGTTGAGCAATCTGTTCCCGAAACAATTGAGATGTCTGTGGAGCCTGTGACCAAGAACGTCCCTGAAGGGCCCTGTCTTCAGTCCATGGGGACCATAATTGGCAACCAGCGCAGCATCCCCAGTGGGTGCTCTGTGCTGAGAAAGTTCCGGAACCTTCCACGTGATATTTGTGTACCGCTCTGGGTGCAGGGCTCCAATGGGGTTGGCCGAGGCACCAACACAGACCTCAGTTCATCAGGACTTTGCGGATGGAGATCAGTGGCTGCTTCTCATCATCCAGGTGGTGTTTCCTAAAACTTATCCACAATAAAAACATGGGGAAAAACTAAACAAAACCGAACTCACATGCAAGACTAGCACCAGGTAGACAGACAAGTGTGAGAGATAGAACTGATGCTCCGCTAGAAGTCAAGTGGCCTTTGACAAGGAGCCCTGGTGGCCCAGCAGTCAAGCCCTTGGCTGCTAACTGAAAGGCTGGTAGGTCATACCACCCAGGGAGAAGGGCCTGGTGACCTGCTTCGGGAAAGAGTCCAGCCTGGGAAACCCTGTGGGGCAGGTTCACTCTCTCCTGTCGCGTGAGCCTGTTCGAGGTCCGATTCGATTCAACTTGATACAGGGACAAGGTGGCGCAAATGGGCAGAGAGATGCCACAGGAAGATCTCCAGGACCCATACTTCATACAAACAGGAGTGTGCTGTAAATGTCCTCTGGCATCTGGCTTCTTTCATTCAGCATCACGTTGGCAGGGTCCATCCATGTCAGAGCAGTGGCCCGAACTCCATTTCTCCTTCTAGATGAAGAACATCCCATTTCCTGGATCTAAACTGGGCCCTTTCTCCCTCTCTGTGACCAAGTGCCAAGGAATTCCTGCTGGGCCTCAAAGACTCCTCAGGAACAGAAGACTGCAACCACCCATTCTCAAGGGCGTGTTCCAGAGCAGCAGGGAGCCCACCTACCGAGTCCTTCAGTGAGCTAAGCCACTCAGTGATGGACTTACCTAGTCCTTCCAAGAAAGGCAGTCGCTCCAGCCAACAGAGAGAACTGCGGCTCAGAGAAGGAAAGCCCTTTACCCAAGACTAGTCTAAGGGAGGAGGCAAGATGGGATTTATCTCCAAGTCTGCTAGCCCCTGCCCTCCCCCGATACCTGCAACAGCCCACATGGGTTGAATTGTGTCTCCTACAGAGACATGTTGAAGTCCTGTCCCCAGTACCTGTGAGCATGACTATCTGGAAGCACCACCTTTGCAGATGTAAGTAGTTGACATGAGGTCATACTGGAGCACGGGGCCCCGATCCAGTACGACAGCCATCCATGACAACCAAGTGCCGACGGAAGCAGAGCTTGGAGTTATGCTGCTGCCACAGCCAAGGAACACCTGGTTCCAGCCTCCAGACGCTGGACCAGGGCAGGAAGGATCCTCCCCGAGAGTCTGGCCCTATTG